GTAGGATGAGTCTGAACTTTCCTTGGGGACATGAGACAATGACTAGGTCCAAGTTGATATATATAATTAATTCATCTCTCTGGCTGAAGTTGTTTTCATTCTTTCTTAGCTCCTCCACGTTCTCTGCAGTGTTTTTGCAACTTTTAAGGTAAAGAGCACTGTTTGTTCCCATTGTCGCATGATGATAAAAAGAGAAAATGTCACAATCACTGCCAGAGATGGAGTAAACAATCTTGCTGTCATTCTTTTTTTTTTGTTTTCATCAGAAAACTCCAGAGAGATTATTAACATTGTGAATATCCACATGGTTTCTTAGTGGACTGTGGATGTCCATTTGCTTAAGGTTATATTATTGCCAAAAACAACAACAACAATACAGTTGCTCATAGATGTTGGAATAGTTTCTGGCAGAGGAGTAATTGATACTCAAGTTACAATGCTGCAGAGCTTGTTGGATTTGTTTATGGTCGTGATTTTTATGGAGGTGAGAGCAGCACTGTTGACATCTGTTCTCTGTGAGGTCTGACTCAGCCAAAGTGGAGCAGAGTGTGATGCAGGTGGTCAGGATGCCGTCAGAAATCAGAGATGTAACTGTAGTACACACAAGGAGCGAGGGAGACGATGAGAAAGAACTGGCGCCGTTTTTGACCGGGTAAAATCGGAATGCAAATCCTCCTGTGACCAGTGTGAAGGGAAATAAAACAAGACACCCCAAAGTTGACATTATTTTCTTGTAAACACACCGTGATACGCAGCAAGAACTTAATTGAGCATATTGGTTTGTTTGTCTACACAATTAGGAATTTCAGCGAAGTGGGAAGAGTTGATGGAAAGCACACAGATTTCTGCATTAACACGTCTGGACATCACAACTCTGGATTCTGTCCATATCACTAACACCCTGGAGTGTTTCTTATTACACACCTTTGTAGGTGTGTAATTACTACGTGAAAAGAAGAGAAATGACGAGAGTAGCCGACGTGAATGCAAGTGGCGTTAATGCCGTTCCCGTTGAGAATAGAGCACTGGCTACAAATAATTGGATTAGCGTTTAACCCTGCTTCTTCTTAGCATAATCCTCTTTGCGGCTTTTCCCCCTGCTTCATACTGTACATATATGTGCGTTTATATGTGGCCTGCACGCCTGCATTGCGTTTGCATACCCTCGCCTATTGATGCAGGCTCTCTCGCTGTTGGCTCGCAAGGTCAGCTTGAGACCTTGTCCGTAGTCATTCACCATCTTCTGACATGGGTTTACAAGCTAGGTAGTAAAAGCACAGGCAGCAGAGACAGGAGCCAAGGCACAGGAGAGGAATGTTAAACCAAATCAGCGAGGGAAATGGAGCAAGGCAGGCATCTGCTGTGGGCAGGGACGGCAATGAGCAAAAATAATAGAAAATGTGGTGCCTTGTGGAGCTGACATGGCCACTTGCTGATCGAGGTGGCAGAACTTTTGTTGAAAGGTTAGTAGAGTGTAGCATTAAGACTAAGGTTGGGTATCGGCATTTGGAAACACTTTGGCAATACTAGGGTGAGGGCTCGATAATGGGACGAACAAGGTCAGCTTATTTTTTTCTTTAGAAGGATGACAGGACAGCCGAGAAGGGGAGGAAACTATAAATGCACCAGTATATGAGTTATCTATTTTTTTTTTTTTGGATGCGTGAGTAATATTTTCTACGCAGTTCAAGATGAGTGGTTGAAACCTGAGAACACTGACATCACAAAGAACAGGAACCCAGGACCTGAGTCAGAACTCGATGCAGGGTGCTTCTTGTATGAAGTACTGTGGATCCAGCAGTGAGCTCTGTCAACAATATATACTCTGTTTCAATGTAAGTGTTCATGTCTGCAGTGATTGCTAGCATCGGAAGCAGCAGGTCATGGCCTCTAGTTATGCAGCAGCATGTATATATACATACAGATAGAGATGGAGCTTTTTTGAGATTTGTAAGAATAAAGAACAGTTACACAGCGTGGGTGTATGGATTCTACAGCTCCTACAGCACTGGCAGCTGATGTTGTTGCCTTACTTTGAAAACCTTGTTGACCAGTTAGAAAACAGAAGTCAACCGAGCAATATATTAATATCCAAGATATGTTCAAGATGTGTCTAATCATCTTCATATAATAAAGCTTTAAAATATTTTATTATATATTTGTTTTTAGTTGCTTCATATTGTGCCATCAGTGTAGTTGTCTCTAGAGATGCAAATATGTGGACAAACAAAGAATTTTGCACAATGTGTAACCTTAAAAAAATAAATAAAATACCTTAATTAGGAAGAGAAACTACGGTGCTTTTATTTTGAAAGAATTACAGGAAATGTGGTGCTTGCAATAGAAAATTACATAGAAAACTGGCCAAATCATTTTCAAATCTTTTAATGAGCTACATGGCTCAAATTTGTTTTCTTTACTGTCCCTAGGTCTTTGCTTTACTGCTTGTTTTACTGCAGTTACATGCAGAAAATTACAATATTTATTTCTAAATGGAAAACATCTTTTTCCCCCATGAACAGCTAAACTAGAATAGAGGACAGAGAAAAAAACATAATTACTTTTAAGAAGTTTATTTTATAGGTAAAAGTTTTACCTCGTGGTGTTTATGTTCATGTATTTACAGTATTTCCGAGTACAGGAGATAACGGTAGATTATATTTGTGTAAATGAAACTCTGTAGGTAAAACCTTGTGACCTTGTGTCTCTGGACCTCATCAAAACCTGAAAAAAGTACTTTTTTCAATTGCCCCATGATAAGTCTGCGGAGGGTCTTTTGGTGAAATTTAGCCCCAGGAAAAAAACATTTTAATAATTTTTCCCTCTAATATGTGTTAAATTCAGTACAACTGAGGGACTGTTAATCAGATATTGTTTTAGAGATTTTGTCAGCTCATTAGTGAGACATGTTTCAGAATAGAAATATCTGATCTCTAGGCTTCAGAGTTTTTTTTTTCTCTTTGCCCAGTGATTGAATATGAACATCATGCAAAGGCAGTTGTTTTTTTTTTTTTTTTTCTGTAATACTCACTCACATGCATAGTGCATAGTTTTGCACATGACTTGACACAAATAGATGGTTGACAATGAAGACTTGATGCACAGTGATTGAAAGATGGGAGGGTGCAGTGGAAGTGTGTGAGAAAGTGACCGAGGAGGAAGGGGTTTATGCTGAAGTAAAAAAGCCGTCGTGGTGAATTATTAATGCCAGGCATTGTGTCCAAAGACACAGCCTCTTATAGACACAGAAACACACACACACAGGCACGCAACAGACTCACAAGTGCACACTTACACGAACGCAGCTGCAATCTCCAGTTGCTTGTATAGACAGGAAACGGCACACACTTCTAGACTTTGTCTAGATTCTTTTTGGAGGTAGTTGTTTTTAAGTGCTCTGGCTCTGTGTGTGTGTGTGTTAGTGTGTGTTTTTCAGTCATGTTTATAATATGGGCAGATACAGGATTCACACATTGCTTCCTGACTGTCCTAAATACAGGCTACAAAGCCATATTCACAGCAGTCTGCACTGTGGTTTTTATTTATTTATTTTTTGTTTCAGTTTGTTACAACATGTCATCCACCAATGTTGCTGCTGTTTTTTCTTGTTCTCCAATGGTGTTTTAATGGGAGCAACATTCCACAGCGCCGATACAAACACTCGTGAAAATGTGAGGAAAATTGATTGTGCAAACTCGATTAGCTTCCCTGCCCTAGAACATCATGGTCCCCTTTTTTCCAGGCGGAGAAGCAGTTTTGACCTATATTTATGTAATTAAAAAGACACTTCTGCTATTTCATCCATGCAAATTTAAACATCGTTCTTCATTCTCTTTCCCCCGTTTAAATGTTTCCGCCCTTGAGTGTGGAATATGCTGGTAATATTAGAAACACACAGTGCAAATATACTTTCCCTGCTAAGGCAATAAATAGGATAATTATTTTGAAAATCCATCACCAGCTCCTCAAGAGAAAAAAAAAAATCCAAGTCGGGCTTAACTCCACCAAGGACAGTTCCAAATCCAAAGAGTCGGGCTTAACTCCACCAAGGACAGTCAAATGGTTAACGGCCCACACATATAAAGTGCTTTTCAATCCATGATGACCACTCAAATGCTTTAGACTGCTGTCCATTTACCCATTCACTCACACACTTGTATACAACAATCAAGTATATCTGCAGGGTGTCTTTTATAATCTTCCACTGTCATTCATTCCATGTCCAGACATTTATCAAGAAGAAGCTGAGGTGGAATCTGAGGTGAAAAATGTGCCTAAGGTAGCCACGATATAATATAAAAAGAAATTATATATAATAATGGAAGAACTAATAAAAAAAAAAACTTACTAACTTGATTTGTTTTTAGTAAACGTCTCCTAAAGGTTTATGAATAATACGGCTTTTTATAGGTGAAAACATTTTAGATGTAAGTTCCAATTTTCTTGAATCAGTGGACAGTAGCAGTGGACAACCCTTACTGACCTCTGTGTCCGCATGGCTTATTTATCAGTTGACTCTAATGGGAAGTCCATTCACGTCTTTCCTAGTGAATGTTGATGAGCCCTGAAAACTAATGAGGCTCCAGACCATAGAGTTTTTCTCATACATTAAAAAGAAAAAACACCTGTTCAATGTTGGTCTTGACAACTTACATGCTCTGCTGACTTGTATTTTACCAATTCTCTCTGACCTTTTTCAAAAATCCCCCGATTGCTGCCTCCCACTTTACTGTAGAACAGCTACAGTCCTTGTGGTGAAGGTTGAACTCTGAGTACCTGTAATTACAGTGAGCCTGATGGGATGATTGCCGTTAAAAATGAGTAACTGCAAATGTTTCCAGCAGATAGCTTTGTGTTGCACACCTTGACCTCCGTCTCGGCTGTTTCTTTATTCAGCATAATGTCGACCACTGGTTTGTAATTTAAATGCAATTTTGTAACCCTTCTCTCTCTCTCTCTCTCTTGCTCTGCTTTCACTTCCACATATTTCTTCTCAATAGCCGGTGTTGCCGTGGCTCAGAGGGTTGTGACGGTGCAGACCGGGCCCCTGTTTCGAACTGAGGGCTCCCACGTGACCATCTGGTGCAATGTGACAGGCTACAAAGAGGGTGTGGAGCAGGACTTCGAGTGGTCCATGTACTTGGCGTCAGCGCAGGACCGGGAGATCCGCATCGTGAGCACGGCTCAGCAGAACTACGCCTACGCCCTCTACGCCACACGGGTCAATAACAAAGAGATCTACGTGGAGAGGCTGAGCGGCGACTCGGCCGTGTTCCACATCACCAAGGTGCAAGCCACAGACCAGGGTCTGTTTGAGTGTTACACCCCCAATACAGACGGTCGTTACCTTGGATCCTACAGTGCACGCACCAACCTCACCGGTGAGTACAAATAACCTGTCAACGTTCAGATAAATCACACGAAAGAACAATTTAACCGCCTGTGTATACAGAAAAACTGCAGCTGCAGTTGTACCTTAATATTCAACGCTGTGAAGTAGTCGACAGTCAGTGAACGGGTCAAAGTATCACTGTGTCTGTTACTGATACAAAAGTACATCTATATGTGGTTAAGTGGTTAAATACAGATTAGTATGACAATGAGGGCTCAGATAAAACTGGTGTCTGTTTTTGGTGGGTCGTTACATACATATAATACATATGTTGAACACCGTAGGCCAAAGATAATAACCCACTTGTTATATAACGTAATTAATAAATACAATTGAATGATTTTAAATTTACAACTTACAGCTAATTAGATAACAGTCAACATGATCTTCACTCATTACTACCTAGTGGAGGTTTTGACACCTGGTGGCGCTTTAAGAGGAGTATTTAGACATCAGGATCCCTGCAACGAACTTGTTGTTTGGTCTCAATTAATAAAAAAACCTGTCTCCATCACTGTGTAACTCCGTGCAGATGATGTGACACAAATGACTGCATCTTTGTTAATTATTGTCACTTTAGGAAGGAATATACCACACTCGCGTGTCTAGTTTATACACAGACACATTTATGCAAGGGTAAGTTGGAAAATTCCAAGACACATTAAAACAAAAACAAAGCTATTTGTTGACATTTCCAAGAACCACGTCTGAGAACTTCTGCAAGTGGTGTTTACATCCGATAATTCCTTCTTTGTAGAATACCAGAGGAGGTCTTTGACACCCTGCTTTTCATTTGTCTAAGCTGCTGAAATGGAGTTCCCTTCATTTACAATAGATGTCACAGGTTTTCATTTCTCGTTTGGGTAAAAAGTAGGTGTTGCTTCGATTTTTTTTGTCTCCTTTGGAAAAACCCCATTAAATAAAACCTTGCTCAGCTGAACACTTGACGCAGAATAAATGATAACATTTGCTACAGTTGCTTCAGTGAGACGTGTTTTTAATGTAACGTCTCAGATATTGAAATTAGACACATTGAAAATGAAGCACCTGTTCCTGCAACTTTTTGACTTAAATATATTATGGTATAATACATTATAAACTACTGAGGCAAAGGTCTGTTGATCCACCACTTTCTTTGACACTTAATAAGCATCGTGCATGTATCTCGTAGCTCAGAGGTAGCCATCAGTTATGAAGGCCAGCGTATACTTCACATGGCAGTTTCATTATAGTTTGCCAAGAGCACCTTGAAATAACAACCTGTGTGTGATTTAGTTCAGGTCGGTTGCATTTAAAATTGCGTTTATTCTAGTATATACTGTGAAACTTTTCCCATCACATTTTCAGATGAGGCAAAAATAAATGCAAGAATAACCCAAAAACAGTATTTTGACAAATAAAATAGATTCAGTGAACAATTGAACAACTTAAATCTATTTTATTTTAAAATTTGAGCTACTTGGTGCCCTCGTGTTGTTGCAGTTTTGTGCAGTAGCTGACCTTCAAACCCATTATTTCTGTCTAAAAGACCAAAGCTGATCAACAGTCTGGTCAGTGTTGTATGATCGTCCTTTTCAATGTGGACAAGCGCAGGGTATAAAAGCTGGACTGTGTACAGATCCAGGACTCACCTTGAACTATTAGCCGTGTCTTAACGTTTAAAATACCCAACATCACTTAAAGTCAACGGCCCCCATGTTGCTCAGCCGATCTGATCCCACCAGAAAGATCCTCCACAGTTAGGCTGTGTCCTGCTGTGATCTGAAAACCACATGAATGGACTGTGAGTGGAGGAGTAGCTTCCTCAGTCCCACCTGTTCTGATTTGATATAAAAAAAAACAATCACTCCAAAAACCACCAATCACTCCAAAAACTCTCTTTCTAAAAAAAAAACAAAACAATCACTCCAAAAACTCTCTTTCTAAATCTCTGACTCACCCGCCTCACTTATGCAGTCACACCCGCACACTTCCTTCCTACACCTTTTCTTGACCTGTGCTGTTTCAATAACAAACTTGCTGAGTGGGTGCGATGTGTCAGCGTTTCAAAACGGGTCCATCTCATATGGTCAGAGGGTGCGCTTTGTTTTCCCTCTTGACTTTGTCCCTTAAACCCACATGTGGATGACCGTTGTCCCAGGGTCACAGTGTAAACTGACGTGGTCAACGTTTGCGTTTCAATTTTTTTTTTGTGCCCCTGTGTTTCAAAGCCAGCTGGCAAGTAGCTCTTTGAAAAGTTACATCTGTTATTTTTGGACCACGTTCGGTTAAACTGTGGAAAATCAATACTCACGGAACAGAAATGTGAATGTAAGAGTATGAAATGCTACTTTTTCCTCAATGAAAGTGTTATTATAAAGCGTGTACTCAAATATTTTGTACTTTTTTTTAGTTTCAACTGTATGGCCTTAAGTGGGGCAGAGCTCAGGTGCAGAGCCAGAGTAAAACTGCACTGCTGATAGCACACAGTATTTATAGGTACCAGTGTGAAAAAAGGAGCAAGACAAAGTATGCGAGAGGAAGTGTTGAGGGACTGTAATCTTTTTCTGTGTCTGTAACCTCTTAACCCAGTTTCAGAGGTCAGAGGTGCACAGCGGGTCCGCTCCTGTCTTCTTCGCTGCTGTATATTTTGGCCCATCTGTGATCCCTAGCAGCTGCCTCTTTCCTTGGTCTATTTCCTCTTCCCCCATTCTCATCCTGCATGTGTATCTCCGTCCATTAATCTGCTCTGGTCTCTGTTCCTAATTTTCTCCAAGTCTATTATATTAAAACCCCTGCAGATTAAAGCTTGTCACCATAATTAATTTTCTCACTCATCATACCATAAATAAAAAATTGACTTGAAGCCTGATTTTTTTTTTTTTTGGCCTTGATAAGCTGTTGTTTAACGACATGTTTGTTTACATAAGGCACCAACATTTCAACAAGACACAGTGCGTCTGCCGCTATCGTCTTTATCAGCCTTCTCTGGGCGAGTGTGTGAGAGGCGGTGCTCAAACACTTTAAATCACGCACAGTCGAGAGCAGAGTTCCCAGAGCAGAACTGGAAAGAACAGGCAGCTAAAATGAAAAAGAAATGGAAATAAGTAAACTGGAATCCACCAAAATGTTTCACATTCCACTCGGTATTCCAGTCACACACGGAGAGGTCTACCTTTCCCCAGAGGTCCGATGTGAAGAACAACAAACACTTCTGAATGTGCAGCATTCATAGTAATGTCAATTATACTCATTGTAACAATATACTATTGTAGCCATAAGTGTACGTCAACCATCAGTCACCACCTGCTTGGTCGTTGCGTGATTCTTTTGGTTTTGTTACTGTTGAGCCATAGTTTGGACCACCAAACTACTGTTGAGAAAATCCTGGGTTGTTTTGTAAATATTTTAGTTCAAATTAAATGGCTGTGTGTTTGGAAAACTACCGAGGTCACATGACATGACCAAAGCTCCAATAATTCCAGCCACTTCATCTTTCTCTATCGCACTCTTGATACAAATTTTGTCATTTAAACACCAAAGCCACTCAAGCTAAAAAATACAATATTTCAAATACAATTGTCAGGGGGTTCAACTTCAGGTCAGGTGCCCCCAGCACAGGACATAAGTGACAAAATCACCAAATAGTTTTCCAGGAATTACAGACTGATTCATGCTGTTTGAGCCCAAGGGCTTCAATACAGTTTTGACAGAAACTCCTGATGCGATCTATAAGCCAACATCGATCTACAAACTCTTCAAAGCTAAATTTATGTATTTATGTAGTTGCTACTGATTCTTGACTTTATCATAATAAAAACAACAATTCCATCAGGAGCAAACATAGATAAAAAAAAGTCAGGTTTTGACCTAGAAGAGCAGAGAGACCGGTTGTTTCCCCCCAAAAAATAAAAAAAAAGTCAGGTTTTGACCGGTTGTTTCCCCCAGGGCTGTGTGTCTGACTGTTGTCAGAGGGGTTTATTGTGAGAGTTCATGTCGTCAGACGTACCGAGCTGCACCGACGTTTACTCACTGCATGTTTGGTATCGCCCGTTGTCACCCTAGAGCGGGCGATTGTTTTAACTTGAAACACTACACCTGCTGCAGGAGGTGTTTGAACTCTGCACCTGGAGACCCCATTCACCCAGATACAATGATGCAGTGTTTCACGCGTCATATCATCTGTCACATTGAATGAGACACCTCAGCTGTAAATGAGGATGATTGCCCGAAAATAGAAAAGAAAAAAGAAATCATTATTACTCACCCATGCGTTAGCTGAGCTCTCCGAGGTGGTGTTTAAGGGAACAATGCAAAGTTGGTCTTTTATGACACAAAATTGATCAAACTGAAATGTGCCTGAGGTGCAGTGATACTAAATGTACGATGTGCTGCCTTTGCCTATGTGAAATTATGAACAACTACTGGACAAACAATCAAAGAAATGTAAGCTTTTTTATTTAAAATTTTTAATTAAAAAAAGAGATTACCGAAATAATAAATAGCGTATCTGCTAAAATCCTACTGCAACCTTGGGTGATGAAGAAGCAAGCTTTCCATGTGGCCTTCATTACTGTTTGCTGGGATTAACCCCTTACGTTACTCTGTCATAAATGAATTGTAATTCATTTATTTTGAAGCCTGAACGTTTCCACCAGTCCACATAAGCTCCGCCCTTTCTCAATTCTGACCAATCACACAATAGTCCTCGGACAGAGCAGATACCTGAGACAGGACACCTCTTTCTGTATTCATATACAGACTTCATCGTGGTACTGTTTCCAACGTAGGTAACGTTTAACAAACCTATGCTCAGGTTTTATACTGCCCTTTTGCCATTGAAAAACAGCCGTTAACCTATTTAATGATTTTCCTCAGACTGGCTAACATGCTTTACACATTTAGTGCACCAGCCTGTGTTTCTTGCCTTGATATTGAGCGTTGTGTAGATTACAGCTTGACCTGGTTCCCCTGATGTATTCCCTGATCCTTTTCTCCCCAAGACTTGGC